GTTCCCTCCCACTGTGCACACACGTTCCTGGGCACACACATGTTCCCAGGCACACATGTTCCCAGGCACACACACGTTCCCTCCCACTGTGCACACACGTTCTCCACCACACTGCCCACAGCAAAGGAAGGAGGAAGTCAGCTGTGCCCCAGCAGATCCCTGAGTGAGGAAAATGGGGGATTATGTAGCCTTAAGGGAAGCTCTGTACCTGCTACCCAAGAGGCAAACCACAAGTGAGGGGAGGGGTGGCAGGCAGGCGGGTGGTGATCACACCACCCAGACACGGAGCCATCCTACAGGCCACAGCTGGTGTTTGCCAGGGCCCGGGAGAAAGTGACAGTGACCACTGACGGGCAGGCTCCGTGAAGCAGACCTAGCCTGGAGCTAGGTCGCCACAGTGGCTCTGCGGCCGCTGCGGCGCTGAGAACTCACACCATGCCTCTAGGTTGTCGGTTTTAAGATGCTGCACTTTGGACTACATGACTTTTGCCTTGAATCTAAAAAGGAAACAGCCAAGGGCAGGAGGGTGCTGTAAGGAAAAGAGGCGGGAAGATTCGGAACCCAACTGTAAGGTCACCTGTTCTCATCAACAGAGTCAGCCATCGTTATGGTCGCATATGGAAATGTGTTCCCCAAAGGAGCTGGGAGGGAAAAGGCTCCTGTGTGTGTTTATCTGTGTATGTGTGTATGTATATGTGTGTCTATGTCTGTATGTCTGTGTGTGTGTATTCACGTTCACTTCAACAGCTTCAGGAAGGAATCTCTAAAATACAGTTGTGCCCCAGAGCATGCTACTTTGGAGACTTGCTGGCCGGCCCCTCCATGTTTTCTCTCTCAGGCTGCTGTCATGAGGCTTCAAGGGCCTTGTCATAAACCAGCCTCAGGTGTCAGGGAAGGCTTGACAAGTTTAGGGCTTGGAGAGTCCATGCCAAGCCTCCAGCATCAGCAGCCTGGGTGTAGTTTGCACATTCAGCTCAGATTAGGGGTCCGCCCAGCAGGCTCTGTCCTCCACACATGGGTGTGTGACCCAGAAAAACGTCCTGCTGGGGTTAGCACAGACATGTGACTGTAGTGACTCAGCTGGGCTGGGTTCTCCTCGCCCCGCTCTCCTGCCCTTCCTGACGACCCACTCCACGAGTACGTTTGTCCTGAAGACCATGAACCTTGTCTTTTTGTTCTCAGTTCACTTTATCCAAATATCAGTGTGCTTGTCTTCTGCATGGGCTGCAAGTGTTTATCCTCAAGGGTGGTGGCACATGCCTTTAAGCCCAGCACTCAGAAGGCAGAAGCGGATGAGTTCGAGGCCAGCCTGGTCTACAGAGCAAGTTCCGGGACAGCTAAAGCCACATAGTAGAGAAACTCTGTCCCGAAAACAAAACAGCAGAAATGTGTTCCCTCACTTTGAGAGTGTAGACGTATTCCAGTGTGTCATGGGGCTGATGCTCTCTCAGACGCTGGAGGGGTGTCCTTCCTGACCTCCGTCTTCCCGGCGAGCCTTAGCTCGAGGCTGCATCACACAGGCCCACCACCCACCCTGCCTTTTCAGCACTGCTGTGCCTGCTGCCCTCCCTTTCTCTGGAAAGGGCATTCATCGGTTTAGGCAAGGCCACGCCCACCACTCTAACAGTCTCCTCCAGACCCCTGCCTCAATTCCAGCTCTAAGATGGCTTCCAAGGAAGTTAACATTCCCAGCCCAAGGACTTTGCTCATCCATGCTCTAGAAAACCAGAGACTGTCCGCGCATCAACGTGGAAAGACTGTAAGCACTGGAGGGGAGCTGGGGGCCCTTGCACAGGCTCCCCGAAAGTACTAACTACCATGCACCCAAGTGACAACCCCACTCTGCCTGGCTCCCTGTGTCCCTGTGCATTCTCCCGGGCTCCCATGCTCTTCACGTCTGAGGGGTCAGAGCTGCCGCTCACTTTTACTGGAGATGCTGCCTGGGAACCAGCCAGTCACGCCCAGGCCCATGACGTGCATACTTGTGTCATACTTCCTGTTGTAAATGGTGTGTCTTTAAGTGTTTGCTGGGCCTTTGAGATGGCTCCGTGGGTAGAAGTACCTGGTGCTGGGCCTCATGGCCTGAGTTCAATCCATGGGACCCGCAGAGTGGGAGGAGAGACTCAACATGCACGCTCACAGTGGCCTCGCACGCATGCACGCACGCACGCAAATGAATAAAATATAACAATTTTTAAAGTGTTTACTAATTGATGTGTAAATCCAAAGGGCATTCTGAAGATTCTTAAGGCCTGCCGCCTAATTAAGAGCCCAGGAGCAAATTAGAGAAAAATAATAGGGTCTATGGATCACCTCCTACTTCTAGTCCCTTCTGTAAAGTGTCCTTGGAATCAACCTCTCCTGTTTCTACTCCCTACTTCCCTGTCTGCCCCCACCCTTTCCACCCCCCCACTCCCCTCCCCTACCCCCTCCATCACCCCCACCTCCCTCCCCCCCCACCCCCTCCACCACCCCCACTCCCCTGCCCCATCCCCAACCCCCTCTGCCCATCTCCACCCCACTCTCCATCCCTTTCTGGAAGCTATAAGGAGGCTCAGGTCAGTCTTGGCAGCCCTGGGCCTGGGACTTCCCCTTGCTACAGGCTCCCTCATTTCAGTGGCTGCACCACCCCACCCCCAGACCTCTTTCCTCCATGCTGAGCTTCATCTGCATCCTGAAGAAGCAGCTGCAAATCCCTTTGTGGGACAGCAAGCAAGCTGTCAACAAAGTCTGAGGCGACTGGAAAGGGCTTGTCCTACGGTTCCCCCTCAGCCCTGGGCTTCCTCAACTCTGCTCCCTAACGCCATCCCAGCCACCCACCACCCCAGGAGCGTTCTGTGTCACTGCTCACTCTCTTGGTCCATTTAAAACAAGTGGCCCCAGCCATTGTCCCCTCTACTTAGGTGCCATCCCTAAGGAGGCTGCTGTCCCCTAGAAGGAGCCAGGCCGGAGCTTTGCCCTGGTTCTCACCACAGGGCTGGGACGAAGTCCTCCTGCCCTTGGTTAGCTCACACAGGCTTTCCTTTCTGGTCCTCCTCCCAACAGCCAACACCTGCTGGCTGGATCTGGTCTTTCCAGAATGTGTGGAACTGCCTGTTTCCCTGGGGACTGTGTGCTATACAGCTCCTGAAGAACCGGCCCTAATGGGGCCCCACTAGAGACCCCAAACTCCTCCCATGTAGACCTGTAGGACCCTGTCCTGTCTTGCTGGGTGGGATTTGTACTTGCTTCTAAACCCCTCATGCCCAACTCCTGGCATGTAGAAAATTGAATCACAACAGGATTCAGTCAAATCCTTCCCCTGGGTTCTCCAGGAGATTAAAAAGCAGGAGTTTTGTTTTATCTGGCTTTTAAACAGATTAGAAAATCTGCCTTTCCAAAAAGTGGGGAGTTGGGAAGGCAAATGCACGCTAAACCACATTAGAAGGGAGGCACGTGTCCCACCCTGGAGTGGGGGGCTCTACAGGTGCCGTTCGGCACTTGCCTGCCGTCTGAGTGGAGAAACGTGGGTTATCCTATAGCATTAATACAGCAGGTCTGGCTGCCGCCTTCAAAGGCAAGATGTGCAGAAAACAGTGTCAAGTGCCGAAGCCTTCCTTTCTTGTTCTGTGTGTGCCATCCCTGGCAGAGCCACGCTGGAGCAAATGGCATCCTGCCTACTCAGTCTTCACACTTTTGGATAGGTAGGTAGATAGATAGATAGATAGATAGATAGATAGATAGATAGATAGATAG